GCCATGGGGGATGTTTACCGGAATTTGGAAGTGAAAACGAGTAGATTAGAGAGAGTGATTTGGAGTGCAAAGTTGATACTTTTGTCAGTTGGGATTGTTTCTACTGTCATTTTGTTCAAAGTGGCAATAATTCCATACACATTCAACTTCATTTTCTCTATGTTTTCGTTTCTTCCAAAGCTATGGACTTTCTTCAGAAGTTTACTTTCTCCTCCTTATATTTACATCCTTCTCAACTTCATCATCATCTCCATTGCCGCCTCTTCAACTTTCGCTCGGCAAAACAACCCCCACCCTGTGAAAAAAGTCACCAAGACAGTGGCCTCCAAGACCACCAAAAAGACTCCCCCGGAAAAGACCCAAAACTTTCAAAAAAGTGTCAACAACATCCAGCAGCCTCATGACGATGATCTCTGGTCTCAAATGGTTCAACATCATGTTGATGATGAAGTTAAAGAAGAAAACTCCACTTTGTCCACTCTCAAACTCACCGACCCATCTCAAGAAACCGCCTCAAACGCCGCATTACCGGAAGATTTCACTGAAAAATCTGAGGAGTTTACTCAGGAAACTCTTGAAGACACGTGGAGATTGATCACTGAAGGCCAGGGAAAGCTACAGAACCGGCACCTGAAGAAGAGTGACACGTGGGACACGCCACCACGGGCTGCCGTCAACGCCGCAAAGGAGGAAAAAACCGGCGGAGAACATGGTGAACACCATCCCGATAGCGATGGTGATGATAGTGACAATCCTGAGGATCACGTCGCGTGGGCCAAACGTGAGCTGAGAAAGTCAGAGACTTTCAGTGACAAGGCGTCTCTGAGGAGGGAGAAATCGATGAGTCAGGACGAGTTGAATCGAAGGGCCGATGCTTTCATCAAGAAGTTCAACAATGACATGAGGTTGCAGAGGATGGAGTCTCACCAGCGTCAGATGGCGATGATTACAGGAGGAGCTTAAGTTGGTTTTTAATCAGTAATTTTAGCTTAATTAAGAACCTAATGATAGGGGGTTAAATGTTGAATTTTTATCGTTGTTAGGTTGTGAATAACAATCACCCCTTTCTACTGTTACTGTTAATGTCACCATGTAAAGGTTAATTAGAATTGCCATGGCCTTATTCTAGTTAATTATATTGTATAAAAACCACCATGAGGGTTCAGTTGACAGTGCAGTCGGCCTGTGTTAATGGCCTATTTCGTCGCAATAAGATCTTATGATTTTGGCTTAAATGTTAATGCAATCAAGTAAAGATTAAAAGGATTGTGGACTAATTATTCTAGTTCTTTCTTTTAAGGCAGAATCTTTCTATTTTTCTATTTATTTTTGTGTTGGGTGTTTTAGATGGGTTTTGGTTTGTCGTCTATTTGGAATGGAATCAATTGAGTTTGATTTGTTTAGTGTAAGATAGGGTATGAGCTTTAGAGATTGTGAGTTGTGACACCAGCTTGGATCCAAAAGAAGCTTTTGGTTTTATCATTTTCATGACAATCATTTCAGTGGCATTGTGCTCTTTAACACCATGTCGTGTCTGCCTAATTGCCCATTCTCATTGTTTAATCAACTCACTTCAATTTAGTCATAAAAATGTTTTTGTAAAACTGATTCCGAAAGCATTTCAACCAAACCAAATGGACCCTTTAAATATTCTCGATGGCCACCAACAAGGACGGAACCAAAAATTTGATTTAAAGTCGGCAGAGGGCTAGAAGTTGCGCTTAGAAGAGTTAAAGTGTAAAAAAAAAAAATTTAGGAAAGAAAGAACCAGAATCTATGACCCTTGAAATGTTCTTTTTACCCTACTAATTTGAATATCATAGTTTAATATGAAGTGTTACATTTACAGTTTTCATAAATCTTAGTTGTTATATATTTGATGTTCATTACTATAACTTAATACTACATAGAATGGTTTTTTTTATTTTATATTAACAATAAAAAATAAGTCCCAAAAGCTTATGAAAAATATCTATTAGTACAAAATTTGCAAAAATACTTATTTTATCTCTCTCCTTGTGACTAGATGCAAACTCTTTAACCACTGAGGTTCTCTATATCGAGGGAGTTTTGTGTTTTAGTAGCAAAATAAGTACCTACTACATTTGTATAATTACATTGGTTTATTAATTTATTGGGTATTCCGTGACCTTGAGGATTAAGTAACTCTAATGCAGATCTATGAGACCGTCTAGGAACCTGATCACTGATCTTACTCTCGCACGGTACCTCATATACCTAAAAATATATATTTAACTACCCAAAAATATTTTAAATTGTATTTATAAAAAAATATATATAAACTTTTTCAACCGGCAAATTTACAAGTGGACATTCATGAGATAAATATCCCAGTACATTACAGATGGTCGAAATCAACAAATAGATTGTAGAGGCTAGTATAGGAGACATTTAATGGAGGCATTAGCATAAAGCCCCAAAACACAATGAATGATGAGTGAACCAAGCAAAAATGGAAGTGATAAGAAAGGAAGAAAATAAAGAAAAACTCTTCAAGATTAAAATTGATGTAATTTGACATATAGTCATTATCCACAGGAGCTAAATCTAGATGCTACTTAGTTTATCAAGTGGGATAGATGGTTCCAATTTCCACATATTTGTGATTCTCATCCCCCCAAACAATTCAATTCGTTTCCTAAAGACTTGTTTTCGATTCGTTTAATAGTATTCAGGTAACTTACTTGTTCGTAATAATTATGGATAAAGGTTTGTTTTTTTGTTTAATTCATAAATTCAGATAAACTATTTATTATTATACTCATATAGGATAAATCTTAATGGTTGGTCTGATAGTTAATAAAGTTTATCCCTTCTTTGAGTTTTGGGTTTAAATATGTGGATCACTTACTGCAATAATATTATGATTTATCTGATTTTTTGAGTTTGTAGATGAATGAATTGTGCTTAGAGGTAGCAATTGACACATATGACAGCCTAGATAAAATAATAGATGTTGATGAATCTAAGATAAAAAAAAAAAAAAAAAAAAAAAAAAAAAAAAAAAAAAAAACACCCAAATCTGGTTTGAGTACTAGTCTAAATATTGAGACATATGAAGGTCTATGATCAAAATAATAGATCTAAGGAATGAATCTAAGATTAAAAATAAAATAAAAATAAAAAATATAAAACCCAAATCAGGTTTGAGTACAAGTCTAAATATTTGATTCAATCAACCTGATCCGATCTTGTCCAAATATGTTTTTTTTTTTTTAAATATTAAAATGAATTATGCTTAGGATAGCACCAGGGAGACGAGAGAGTCTAAGATCATATAATAATTCGAATTCGACTAGTATAATATCTAGACTCAAATTCGAACTTGAACTAACTTCAATTGAGGCAAAACAAAGATGTATTATGGATATGTGATGATTTGAGCATAAACAATATGCCCGACCCGACCCGACCCGACTTTTCCTCTTTCATGTTTGTTTTGGAATGGTGACAGTGGAGCCGCAATTGCTAAGTTAAAGAAAAGAAAGCAGTGGGTTTACAGAAGAAATTTGCATCATGTAATGGGGTGGGTAGATGTTTCCTGGGGTCAGACAAAAAAGCCTCTTTCACTATGTGTCTCATAATGTTATAGCCCCCCGCCCTTCTCAGTTTAATTAAATTAAAGCACCACCTCCTCACCAAACTCTTCATTTATTGTGTTCTCTCTAATCCAACCTTGGAAATCACTAAATCAATCTTTAAACCATCTTCCTCTCAATTTCAGGTTTTGCCAAAGATAATCAATTGCTTTAACGGGTTAGATTAATATTAAAAAATCATCGATGATAATATGATTAATTATTACCACATGTTGCAATTTTTAATGGACAATATTAAAAGTAGAGAGAATTATATAAGATAAATTTTTAAATTAAGAGATTATTTCATGTTAATTTAAAAAATAAATAAGTAAAAAAAGTTTAGAATACTTTGTTTGCTTAGATAAAGTAACAATAATATAATTACACAATACAATTCTAATAAAAAAAATATCAGAGAGAAAATTTCAACGAGACAGACTCTATGCTCAATCTAACATTTATCGTGTGCAAATTATACATGTTCACCATTGGCATACAATACACTCATATTTCAAATTTAATAATAAAAAATACTATACTATAGTAATATACATATTAATTCAGACAAGTTATGCATTCTATTAAAATTATTATTATAATAATTCAAAGAAAACATTTTTTTAAAAAAATAAAATAATAAAAAGAAAAGATTTTGGAGGGGGATTATTGTTAGTCAAGGAATTATTGTGAGTTTAAGGAGGGATTAATGACATCATAAGAGGACATGCCCGCTTAAAACGGCGTTAAAGGATAGATTAATGATCTTTAACTAATCCAAAATCAAAACTTTGCAGTAAAACAAATCCCATTATCTTCCTTGTGGGTCTCTCTCTCTTTTTATATATAATCACTGCAAGTTTATCTCTCCACCATTTTCCATCCAATTCCCTTCATCAAACTCCACATTTATCATATCCTACAGACTTGCACGACCTTTAACCCATTTTCTAACTAAAAACCCCTCCTTGTTCCTTCCCTCCCCTTTAGTGGTCCTCGCTCAGACCCCCCCTGAAGTGTTGTACAGTCTGTGCTAGCTAGTCTATTTTTTCCCTTTTTGGGCTTCCCTTTTGCTTGGTTTTTGAAACCATGGAAAACGTTTCTTTTGTTTTTCTTCGTTCTCATTGAAACTTCAAAGTTTGCATTTTTCTCCTCTTCAATGGAGGTTTTGAGTCTTTTTTTAATGACTATAGACACCATTGAAGTTCAAGTCTTTCTTGTGCTCTGTTTTTGTTGTTTTTTTTTTTTTTTTTTTTCAAAAGCTTTTGGGAAACTTTCAGGCTCTATTTAAACTAAAGAAGGTTCTTAAAAGTTTAAATAATCATGGAATGTAAGAGGATAATCATTATTTATATTAAAAATAAATTAAATTTGTGGTGTCACATGTCTAGCAATTTTTTATTGTATTGTTTATATCTACAATAAACTTATGCAATCATTAGGTATAAGGTAGCAACCAACTTTTTTAATAGATTTTACAAATAGTTTAATGCTCAATTATTCTCCCAGTCTGTGCATAACAATTAAATTAAACTTAGATTTATGTCATTGCTAATTGCACTTAAGAACACAACAATTAAAGACTATTATAAATAATATAGTTGATAACAAGGTTTTTCATAAATTTGAAAGGGATTGTCGTGAATTTTGCGTTTCAATTTCCTTTTTTTCTGTTTTTTGATGGGGGAGTCCCGACTAGTTTTTGCATTGACAGTCAGATGAATTCTCTGAAAATCTCTTAAATAATATACTCAAGAGTCCTAGTTGAATGGGTCGTCTAGTGATGGTTAATTGCGTGAAATGGGCATTTGTATATTAAAGACTATTATAAATAATGTAGTTGATAACAAGGTTTTTCATAAAGTTAAAAGGGATTATCGTGAATTTTGCGTTTCAATTTTCTTGTTTTTTTTTTTGTGATCGTGGATGGTTTGACCAGTTTGCGTATTGATAATTAGGTAAATCCACTGAATGATTACCCTTATTAATAATATAGATGAATTAAATTTAAGATCCCTTTAATAATATATTTAAAAGTTTTAATTGATCGTTAAGTCATTGATAATTAATCGCGTGAAATAACCATTCGTATATTAGTCACGTTTTAATAATGTCATAAATGAGCATTCGAGTTAACAGATTCTACCATCTGATTCTGTTTAATCAATTCTGCCATTAACTGAGTTCACGGTTGAGAACTTTTCCCAATCTAAAAAATAAAATGACACGATTAATAAATTTGTTGAATTCGTCGGACAGGTGTTGTCACAAATTGCCGTCCATAAATGTTGTGTAGTATACTACTACATTTTATTTATTTATTGATGAAATGGAGGAAATTCATGTTGAAAAGGATTTAAGTTCTTTGAATACAGAAAGAACCGAAAGATGTGAAAATTGACAATTCAAAGGGGTCTTGAATGAGACATTATTAATTAATGGCGGACTTCATTTAGAGCTATAGAATTATTTTTCCATAAAAAATTATGTAGAAGGTTGTCTTTTTCTCTGGTTCTGTTTTCCTGTCAACTTCTTAATTAAATGCTAAACCCTTAAATAAGGCCATTCAAATGTTTGCTTTTTAACCCTACTAATTGAAATATCATAGTTTAATATAAGTGTTACATTTACAGT